CTCCAGCGAAAGCGAAGGCTCGGATGTAGAATCTGGAGACATTAAAAAATGTGAAATTAAAGCTCAATTCAAGGCCTATCTTAAAGAAAAACGAGCTTATCTCGGTGAAAATCCTCTCGATTGGTGGAAAACTAAACTAAAATATGATAAATTGACAGATCTGGCCCGCAAATATTTGAGCGCTCCACCCGCGAGCGTTCCAAGTGAGCAATAGTTCAGTACAGCCGGCCTTATATACGAGCCTCTAAGAAATCGCTTCATGGGAAAAAAGGCAGCAAAATTACTTTTGAACTTTGACTACAAGAATAAAACACTGTATATGTTAAGCACTCGTTCAAAGTTCTAATAATTTAAAAAAATTGTAAATAATAAAAACGATGACTTCAATTGATTATAGTTTGTTTAATGTTATTCCTAACATTCGCATACGCATTCGAACATTTGCATTCTGAAAATTCGCACTCACATTCGCGAATGTGAAAAATATGGCATTCGAAACATCCCTAGTATGTATATATTTTTTAGACATTCAATCTTAACAGTGAAATTAGGCAATGTCAAATAAAGAGGAAATTCGATAACATTTCCCATTGTCATCACAAAAAATAAGCCATAATTTGTCATAGGCTGCGTTTCTTTATACATTCCGGATAATCCCATTTCACAGCCGGAATAAACAGAATACGTTTGAAATATACGTTAACATATCATCAGGAACGTTCTAAAGAATAAGTAAACAAAAAAGTTTATTCCAAACGTTCAGAATGAATAAAGAAATTCAGCCATAATTTCTGATAGCAATATGGATAAAAATCGATTTACGCGATTTAAAAACTCAAAAAGCAAACAAAATAGACTCTTAAATACATATGTATGTACATATATGCAAAATCAATGAAGTTTTATTTCAATCTTCCAATAGTTTTCAAGCTTTTGCTTGGACTTTTTTTTGGAATGAGTTTCGGCAGTATAAGTATAAGTAAGTATAAGTATTTATGATAACGATTTGAAGAAGAACATGATTAGTCAGAATCACGAAAAAATCCAAACTTTGACAGATCATGTATAGAACCCATAAAAATTTGAAGCGAATCCGCCCGACTTAAAAAAGAATGGCTCACACAAAAGAACAAATGAGGATAACTTATTTAACAGTTTCATAGCTAATAAGAGACTTTGAAAAGTCGCCGTTTATTGGTAAATTTGTATATGCAGATGATATTCCATGTGTTAAATGGCATTTTGTCTGATAATACATTTGCATTCGTTGCAGGCAGGCGTAAGACCCCTTTCGGACACGTCAAGTCTTGCTTTCAA